TTAGCCCACTACTTCCTCACCCTCCCCCGAGAAAACGTCATTTTTTCGTTTTTTTCTGGTGGGTTGCAATCATTTTCATAATTTTAAAAAATGTACACCCATACCGGCGGGGCTTTTACAAACGTAAAAAAACCGTATATTGAGGGTATGTATGTATAGTGTGAGCATACATTATGAGTTAATTTACATCGTTTTCTGTTCTTTAGCTATCAGCTTCCAATATCTGATTCCCATCTCCCTGAAATCTTCCATCACTACATCTCTCCATTTCTTTCTTGGTCTTCCTCCCTTTTTTGGCCCCAGGTACTCTCCAAACAATATTTTTGACTATTCTATTACATTACATTCTTTCTAGATGTCCGAGCCATTCTAGTCTACGTTTTTTCACCACTTTTGTTATTGTAGAGTTAGCATGCTATTGGTATACTTCTGCATTAGTTGGTTTTCTCCATTGTCCCTCTACTACTTTTCCGCCAAACATTCTTCGAAGTGTCTTTCTTTTCATATACTTTCATACTTCCAATCTGTGCTGTATGGTTTTGTTCATAGTCCATATCTCGGCAGCATATAGCATTCTGGATCTAATTATACTTTTGTATACTTTGTATACGAGCACACCTTTTGCTCTTAGTCAGTCTCAGGTTGATCCAACTGATTCAACGGATCCATCCACCACCTTCAATTTAAAGGAGCTCTCTGGTGTTTATTCCTTTTTTGCTCGAGATTTTCTTGTACTTATATTTATTAATATTAATTTTCAGTGCCATTTTAGAGCTTTTTACCTTCAGCTCTTAATTTTTTGCCTTTATTTACAATTTAGTGCCTTATGTGTTTTTCCTTTTCGGTCAGGTCATCGTTGATGAAGATTTCTTCTTCAGTAAGAAATCTGAGTTTGCTTTTTTCTTCCATTACCTTATTTTTTTTGCCATAATCCTTCAGTTGTACCAGACATATATTGTTTTTAGCTTCATTGCAGATTCTATTTCGACACCCTATCCCGGTGGCTTAAAATTTCTCTTGAGTCTAATTTTTAATCACATAAAATGTAAAAGAAAGAAAAATGTAAATTCCTAGGGTGATGGCATTTTGCGTATCTTAACGGGGGTACCCTTTGTTAGTTAGTTTTTCATGCAAAATAATATTTAATTGATATTGACCTTCTGTATAGGTGGAGTCCAATTTGTGTACCCTCCAAAACTGTCTGATTTCGATGATGGGAAGGGAGATAACAATTGAACAACTTCGTCAAGACGTGGGGTTGATGATCGAAAGGATAACACACGTCACGTTGATGTTCAGGCAAATCAAGTTAACTATGGAAGAATATGTGTGCCTTAAAGTTATCACTATGTTGAATCAAGGTAAGATATTCATTAGATGTGTTGTATCAGACAACAAAATTATATAAAAAAATATATATTGCTTAATTTTATGAGAGTAAAAGTTTTACGAAAAAAATTGTTTTTATATGTATTTTATGAGAAAAATAATTTTTTATAAGAAAAGATTTTTGTAAAAGAAAATACGTTTTATAAGATTTTTATAAGAGAAACTGTTTCATTAGATTTTTCTTAGAGAAAATATATTTTATAAGATTTTAAGGCAAAAAATACCTTTTTATATAATTTTTATCACAGAAAATATGTTTTATAAGATTGTGATTTTTTAAGTGATAAATTGGTAAGGCAGGTGAAATAGTATCAAAATTCTAAATTTGGTGGATACGCAGGGATCACGAAAACATTAAGTAATTTTAATCAAAGGATTGTACCTAGTAACAGGCTTTAGTAATATTGTCTGGTCCCGTAGAAATCTAAGACACATACTCTGTTGTAAGTTATGGAGTTTGGTAGTTTTAAATATAGCAACAGTTTCATTTCCATCAAGAAATATAACTATGAGGTGACAGAAATGGATGGATATTTGTGTTTTTGTTTGTTTCTTTGCTATTGTGATTCTTCCTTGAATATTTTTCTTTATTGTTTCATCCAGGTTTTTGTTAAATTTACTTCAAATACCCATTTTTCGTATTCTTCTACCTGGTCGCTTGAAAAACCAGGTGCATTCATTAATTAGGAGCCCCACAGTTCTGCATTTCTTCTTCAATTGCTCTAAAAATATTTTATCAGTGTGGATGATAAGCAGCAGACGTTGTTTAAGATCTTTTATTGCTCTAAATAATTTGCTAATCTTATTTGTTTGTTTGATTTCGTCTCTGAATTGAAATATTTCAATTTAAATCATCAATATAGTCCGTCTACAAAGTATCCGAAAAAAGAAAGCAGAATTATCATTTTACGGTATTTATTTCTATCGTGCAGTTGATACTCAACGGAAAGGTCGACGGAAGAAGAGGAATTGGTAGAAACAAATACTCATGGGTCCGAAACCTTCTCAATGGACTGGCTTAATAGCACATGAATTATTACATGCCGCGCAAGATCGAGAACGATATCGGCAAATGGAAGCTACCTAGGCCTAAAACTTGGGCACGGTACTCAAAAGAAAATAATAAGAAAATAATTTATCTTATTTACTTATACAACCTCCATTTAAATACAAACACTGAACTAAACGTCCAGGTACACCCAAACTAGGTCAAGGCCATAATTTTCGGTAATGGTGTTCCAGGCCTGTAAAACTGACAGAATCAAACCTTCTTTATCTCGTAGCATTGCTCGTTCCACTTTAAATCTTCATCAGTCCCCATATGTTTTCAATGGGTCAAGATCTGGAGATGCTGCTGGCTATGGAATTGTTGCAAATTTATGTTCTTGCATCCAAGCTTGAGTATAAACAGAAGTATGGCATCTTGCATTATCTTGCTGAAAACGCCACATTTTTTTATATCCCTTTGGATATAAAAAATGAGCCGTTTCAAGAAGAAAACCATTTAGGATGTTAATATTTCGCACTATCCACAGTACCATTAACTATACAGAGAGGTGTAGCACCATGCTGAGATATTGCTCCCCAAACCATTATTTTAGTGGGAAATTTGGAAATTTCAACGGTAACATTTTCTCTTGATAGGACTTTTAGATGATTTGCACCAAGTTGGAAACAACTTTAATTAGATATAAAGACATTATTAAAATTATCTTCTCGAAAAAGTTGACAAAAATCTATTCTTCGTTGCCTTTGCAGAGGTGTCATTGTAAGGATTTTTTTGGATTCCTTGATGTGTAGCCTTGCTTTGTCAGTGACATGCGGACAGTTTCTGGACACACTTTTATTCTTCGTTGATTTCCAAATCTGTTCTAATAAATAAATATGTCTAATATCTATGCCATTTTTATCGTCTTTCTTTTTTCTACTTGCGACATTAGTTCACAAATCTTAAGTATGTTTACAAACAACAGTATTTGACAAACGGTGTTGTTATGCGATTTTGTCCATAACCTACTATCGGCACAACCTAATTGATGCATTACTTTTGTCTTAAAATGTTACAAAAAGGAAATCTATTAAAATTGGGAAAAATATAAAATTCCGGATACGACTATCGTATATAATAATAATGTTTGGGTATGTATTAATAAGTTTTAATTGGTATATAATTTCTCTATTGCATAAAGTAGAGTAAAGGGGTGGTACATATATGTACCACCAAATACTTACAGTAGTACATATGTATACCAACAGTTTACTGTTAGTATATCTACAAAAAAGAGCTAAGTCTAATATTATTTATTCAAATAAGCACATACTAGGAAAAATTCTGGGGTAGAAAACGAATTTATAAGTACTTGGTGTGATAATAACATATAACAGTTTTTACAGAAATGGAATATTACACTCTTGACAAAGAGTTTTTGTTCTTGTTTGCCTTTTCTTTCAGTCCATCTCTAGATAGGAAAAGATAAGAAGTAACGCTGAAGATCCATACAATTTTTTTTCTTGAAGCTGTACCTTGCTTGTATCGTCAGGAATTACCTAGACAAGAAGTGAATTTCCATCAAAAACTACCTGCGTGTTTAAGCTAGAACTTTAATGCAAGGAGTTTTCAGCTATCGACGTCAAAAAAGTATTCGATGCATCAATATCAGCTGCTATATCGAAAGTTGGGGCATAATTGTCGCTTGATCCAGTAGAAAACGGTTTTGATAGGTCCGAAGCAAAGAGCTCATCAGTTTAGAGATTCTAACTGTTTTTGACATGTTTGTAACTTGTTGGTACACATATGTACCACCCTATATTGCTATAGATATCGAGTGGTCCATATTTATACCTCCTTAAAATTGAATGACGAAAACAAATTAGTAAACCATAACTTGAACTTACTAAAGGATCAACACTATTCACAGGCAAACAACAAAAAAATATTTATCACAAAAATGTAAAAATTACCTATTTTATTGGCCTAAATATATAATTTTGAGAGAGCAGTATATCCGTAATGCTTACGCTATTGCAAACACATGTCAACTTGATTTAATAGAGTACATAATGTTTCGAAACGAAAGGGTTAAATAGGTGATTGCCGAAAAAATATTTGTTGCTGACTTAACTAACATAAATTTTCATTTCTAGCAAAGCCTGCCAGTAGTTCGGGACCCAGTGAATTGGAAACAATCCACGAGAGGTACATGACTTGCCTACGCGTGTACACGCAACATATGTATCCTCAACAAGCCACAAGATTCCAAGACTTACTAGTTAGGTTACCAGAAGTAAGTAACATACTTTATGATATATTCAACAAAAAAAAAATATTTATTTACTACTTTTTATCGTCCACTCCACAGAAAACGGCGTGAGTAATAAAATATTTCTAAAAAATGATTTGTAACTTAAGCAAACTATTTACTTAAGTAAACAAACAATCTAGGCCTTTCTGCTCGTGTCTGAGAGTCTGGGTGCAGTTCCTTTAAAAATTATATAGAATCTGTCTGTATCATCTTCAAAATTAAAATAAATTGGGCGTCAATTCTTCATAGTTTATTCTCGTAAGGAAACGAGCTCAGTCAAAGAAATAAAATGAAAATTTTAAAACAAGGTTAAGCTTTATTATTTTGTAAGGAACAAAAAGTTATTAAAAGATTCTATGTTAAAAAGTTACGTCATACCAGAAAATAAATTAACAATCTGTTTTTATGGTATTATCTATTACTACTATTTTCTCTTCCTTCAATGAAATGGAAAATCATTTCCCAAGTATGATTTTGTTGAAACGTGACAATAAAGAGCTTAGAAGGAGCTTAATATGGCGGATAGGGTGGCTATTCAAACAATTCGTACTCTATGTCACTGATTTTTGCGATAGTTTTTTGACAAACGGTATATTGTCTTAATAAAAAATATTTTCTTCTATCTGCCGGGACTGTCTAATGTCTAACTCATCCAAAAAGTTTATATTTCAGTTTGGCGATAATCCATGAGCAACTTCTGTTGCTATGTTGTTTTTACGTAGCACTCTGCTGATTTTGTCTGTCGTACCCTTTATATAGGGCAGGATAGTTTTTCCGACTGGTTTTTCCTCTTCTTCTGGATCTTTGATTTTGTTTCGGGATTTCTGTGCCTTTTCAATCGTATACATGGAGAAGCCATTTTTGTTAGAGCTGTTTTGACTTTTTGCATTTCTTCGTTCTTATCTGCCAGTTTCTCAGATCTTGTTATTAGGGTTTTTATTATCAAATTTAATTGTGCAGGATGATGGTGTGAGTCTGCGTGTAAGTCTCCATGCGTCCAGATAATAAAATGTGTCATCAACATACCTAAAGCCACAGTTTGGGTTTATGCTCTGCTGTTTCTATTGCTTTTGATTCTATATCTTCCATAAAAAGGTTGGCTATTACGGGTGACAGTGGTGAACCCATCGGTGCCTCTTCAACTTGTTTGTACCTCTGGTCCTTGTAGATGAAATAGGTGTTGTTTAAGCAGTGCCTCGTCAGGTTTAATGTATCCTGTGGTATTGGATATTTTCTGCGTATAATTTCTAATGATTCTTCTACTGGCACATTGGTGAATAACGAGACTACATCAAAGCTCACTAATAAGTGTTCAGGTTCTAGAACAACGTCCTTGATAAGGTCGATAAAGTGGTTTGCATTCTTGATGTAAGAATCCGCTTTCTCTCTGCATATGGTTGTAGCTGGTCGGCCAGAAATTTTGCCAGTGATTGTAGCGGTTGACCCGATAGAGCTGACTATTGGTCGTAATGGTAACTCTGCCTTATGTACTTTGGGTAAACCGTAAAGTTTTGGACATCTTGACGACTTTTCTCGTGGAATAAGCTGGAACTGCTGCTCTTTTCTTGATCTTTGGACGCTTGTATTTTGGCTTTAGTTGTTTTCTCCATATATGTTGTTGGGTCTGTTGCGATTTTTTGATATGCACTGTCGTTTAGTATATTCTGTATTTTTGTGTCGTAGTCTTCAATATTCATTATGACATTAGCGTTGCCCTTGTCAGCTGGAAGTACGATGATGTCTTTGTTTTGTTGTATGTTCTTCAAGGCTTTTTTTCTTCGTAAGGTAAATTCTTTTTCGGAGGCTTGGCTGTTCTTAATATTTGTGCTACATCTTGTCGAATAATTTCGGCTGTTTCTGATGTTAACTTAGTGATAGTTGTTTCCACTTCGCTAATGATGTTTTCGACGGGAATCCGTGTCCGTGCAATAGCAAAATTGAAACCCTTTGGAAAGGACACTATTTGTAGCTTCATCCATAGTAATATTTGAAAAGAAATTGTAGACTAGATTACTGGATTCTGTTGTTGGTAGTTCCTTAATCTTTGGTCGTTGTTGTAGTATCAATTTCTCAAACTTTTTGATTTGTTTTTTCTTGGTGAGATCAGCATCTGTCTCCGATCGAAAGTTTGTGAGCTTGTCAAAGATGTTCACAGAGTCGGATGTATTTTGTTACTTAGTGTGAGATATAGCTTTAATAAATCTGAATTTAGTTTATCGATGTCTTGTCTGGAATCTTGAATTGATTCTCTAGTAAGTGCTAGACTTGCCCTTTTTAAAATATATTTAGTTTTATGGATGTTTTTTGTGGAAACTTAACTTCATACAAGTGGGTATTATGCTTTCGTCGCGACAGCGTTCTAAAAAAGTAAGGCTTACAAAGTAGCTTACCTCGTTTTGACCGTAGTTTTTCATATCGTCTATCTAAGGTCTGGTAGAATTTCCTCCCCGTAGAGGTTAATTATATTGGATTTGAAAATTTCCGCGGGAGCTATATGTGATTTCAGTTGTTTTCCGGGTTTGACTCCGCGTTAAGTAATTTTGGTTTTTAGAAAAAACTATTGTTTTGACGACGTTTCGGCAAGGTCACACTTGCCATTGTCAAGTCAGATTAGTTCTGCTTCGTCTTGATGTTTCAGGGAAACTGATTTCTCGGTCGCTGCTCGCTAATATATATATATATAGTATATATATATATATATATATTATATATATATATCTATATATATATATATATATACATATATATATAGTATTTATATATATTTATATATAATATATATATATATATATATATATATATATCCGTATTTAGGCGGCACACGCCTTCCAGTAGGGATCTATGGAGGAGTATCACCGAACACAAGCCCTTATCTCTTGCCGTACTACTCCACCTAGGCCGATCAGATACCAGCATATTCTAGACTAATCCGCAGATTCATTTCGAATTTTAAACTGCTGCGTTAGCCTTTTGTTTTCTGTACACCGAGCTGGGAATTGAACTGACATCTCCTCGCATTGAAGCGAAGGAGAAGCCAGCCGCCCAGCCCGCTTGGATATCCGATCGACCAGTAGTTGTATTAACTCCAGTTATTTCAGCTGTAAGATCTTCAAATTTTGGTTATAATTAACTTTTTGGTGTAGATATTGTTATAAAAAGCGTAGGTTTGACTAACACCAATCAACTCTACACAGCTCTCCGCTAAACTTAACACTAACTTTTTTTTCTTTCTAGATCCAGTCTGCGGCCTCACTTCTCCTAGAAAGCAAAATGTTCTACGTTCCTTTCCTGTTGAATTCGGCGATTCAAAGGTAGTACCAAAAAGAGGCAGGCGCCCCAGCCCGCAGCCCCCCTTTCTCTAGCTGAATTTTCCGGATTCAAGAATTAAACAAAAGATTATTTATAAAGATGACAAATTAGAGAAAAGTGTCGTTAAAAAAATCGATGACGCATATATACATATATAAATAGAATGGTAAAAATTATTTGAAAAATTCTTGTTATCAATTAAGGATATCACGTTGTTCGTTTGTTGAATCGAGTACTGATGAAGATAATGCGGGATAAGTGTCGAAACGTCGATCGTTCGAATTGACTAATTAAGGTTTACGCTCAGAGAATTAGAGACTGACACGGATATGACATTTTTCGGATATATTCTTCTTTTTTATACCAAAAAAACGTTACAAAAATCGAACATAACTTTTTCAGTTGCAGTCAGTTTCACTGAGCCTAAATCGTATGCGAGTACAGACTAAAATTAGTTTTTCAACAGGATCTGTATTTTTATTACAATACATAATTTTGATGATGTAATTTACCTATATAGCTAGCTTTTTCTTGTTCAATAATTTTCCAGTAAATACTTTTTGGTATTTACTTGATTAGCAGTAAAATTATTAAGTATAACTACAAAATTTTGCAGGAAATAAATTGGTTGTCGTAGAAAAAACATAGTGCTCAACAATAAAATTTTAGTTAGTACATACACCTCGGAAGAATTAAACGAAATTGTTTGCGAGACACATGTTAGAGCATAGAACAACGAAATAGCACAACACAAAAAGACGAATGAAAACAGTAAAAAAATTTTTATTGTTTTGCAAAACGCAGCTGTGAAATCCTAGTACTTGTTACTAAATTAAGTACCTTTTTATCAGTTTTTTTATTATACCACACCATACATTCATTTCCAGTTAACAATTTTTTTCATTAGAAATTCGACGACTTCGATAAAGCGCTAACGTCCTTCAAGGCTCTTTCCTGTTTCGTTTTCGTACAAGTTGTTTTATCAATAAATTATATATTGTGCTAGGTCACTTATAGATTCAATGGCATTGTCTACAACTATTTTTATCATTTTTCATTGCCGTATTAGTATCAATCTAGCATTGTTCAAATGCAGTTCTTATACACAATGAACCGAAATACATCAAACGGTTTTATTCTGTTTATATTGTGTAATTGAGTATTGAATTTATTCTAAACAGTTTGATTAAAGATATATCTGACCTGATTTTATTAATCAAGCAAATAGTCACATTCAAATGGACCGATTGCATTATATTACTTTTATTTTTTAGTGCTTTAAAAGATTTATTAGACTTATTTTATCTTAACTTAAAATGTATCCATATGTTTCGTTTTACTTTTTTCTTGGATACTTCATTGCTTTTCTTCCATTAGTCGATTGTTTTCTTTTTATATGGCTGTAGCACTAATGATGATGATGAAGAAAATCTGTTAATGATTGTAAGGTTTTTATTTTTTCTTTATTCATAAACAAATTGTCATCTATGGACTATTCCGTGCCGTATGTTATCAGTCGTCTGTCATTTGTCATCTGTCGTGTCATATGCCATCTAATGTTCTATATAAACTTCTACTTTTACATTTACTTCTTCATTTTCACTTCCCCTCATTTTACTTCTTGAGTATTTGATTTTATTTTTGCGTTTGATGTTAATTATTAGTCTAAAATC